GACTGGACTGGACTGGACTGGACTGGACTGGACTGGACTGGACTGGACTGGACTGGACTGGACTGGACTGGACAGTGGACACGAGAAGTGGAAAAAAGACTGATGGAGTGTGGATTGTTACTGTGTTGAAAGTGTTGTCATATGGTAGGGCAATATCCCTAGTATTTCGCTGCGCACTCTTACTTCGCATAATTTCGCACCTAAATTAGGGTCTGCACATTAGGAACATGACACCTTTTCATTTGCGGTTAAGATCAACAGAGAGTTTTGACAGTCCGTTTCTCGTAAACAAGCATGGTGATCTTTATCCTTCTTTTACTTAAGAAGAGCAATGATCAACTTTCTGTAGGCTGACAAGAGATCCTGAGACTGATTAATAACAAACGTTCAAGTCCGACAAACAAGTAGTTGTGGAAAACGCGGACTTAGTGACCGAGTGTTTGCAAATCCGAGAAACCAGAAGAACAAGCTAGCCTAGGTGTAGCCGTACCTTCCCTCCCATTTTTGTCGCCGTGGGGGAGGGGAAGGGGACGGGGGGGCTACACGTCGGCTACGAACAAGCTCTCTTGTAGATGTGTACGTTTTTCCACGGAAAGTGCATTAAATTGTTCCTCATATTTGTCACAATACATTTAACACAGTATCAGTTGTGCTTCAGTTGCTTTCCCAATGTGTGCCGCAGAGTTACCAGTTCAAAAAAAACAGGTTTATTGTGGTCGATATTTCAAGGGTTAACGGGGCAGTTTTACAGATAATCTTTTTCGTGGAGATGATGACAGATTCCTTTAATTACATATAAACATTATATTACAGTCATCAACCTTGGAGGAGTTCGAAAAAATTTTCTTGAAACTTTTATTTCAAGGGAAACATCTCTAGAGACAAAAATAGACCCTGGATTTTCGTGCGGTTTCCTTCTGCTTTTAACGGTATCGATTAAGTTCTTTGCCCCTTATAAACCCCACCAAATATGTCTCGTAACGTTTTTACATATTTACATCATTTGTCAGTGAGTATTACCTTCTAACTATCAATCCTTATTCCTCTTTCAGATGTTTATCGTTACTTGTTGAAGACATCAATTTGATTTTTCCTTTTGAAGACCAGTTTCTTAAAACAAAAACAAACGTCTCTCTACAACACGACTCAAGAAGAGGTAAATGTCCAATACTGAAGGTTTTGCTCGGTGGTTAAGTTGTATAAAAATATAAAATTAACAAATAGGTTACAATATTTTGAGAGGAAGCCACATCAGCCTTAGCTGGTTTTCATGCAGGTCCTCTATCTTGGTCGAATTGGAATTTAGGTATGTTGCTTTTTTTGTGGGGGAGGAAAACCGGAGACCTAGAGAAAAACCATCGGAGCAAGGCGAGAACCAACAACAAACTCAACCCACATATGGCACCAGACCGGAATCGAACCCGAGCCATATTGGTGGGAGGTGAGCGCTCTCACCACTGCGCCATCCCTGCTCCGTATTTTATCATCCCCTGCTCTGTATTGCGCTATTGCTGCGCTGCATTATTATTTCTCGCCGAATGAGTTGCCTTGGTACCTCCAGTAATTACTGTCTCGTTATTACTGTCTCGAGTCTCGTTATGCAAAAAGATGTCCCTTAACCCCGTCAACTCAACACGGCTTGCCGCTTACTTTTTTTCTGTTTGCCAAGGCTCCGCAGTCACCCTCCAGACGCCTCTTGTAACTCAAACATTACTGGCATTTTATTATAAGTGTGTGCGCTGAAAACGTTGCCTAATATCCGTTATGGTGAAACCATTGCCGGTTAAGCCGCTTATACCAGAAGATAGGCTTATCATGTCCATTTCGGTTGGCCAATAGTTAGTGTTCTACTGATTTCGTGTTTCGTCGTTTCAAAGCATGTCGCTACAAAGAGGCCCACTTCATCAAGAATACTATGAGGCTTGTCAATCACCTGGTTTAGTTTTGGTTAGACTAAAATTAAATTTAACATTACCAAAAATTGAGAAACTCCTTTATAAAACTTCTGTTACAACTACTAACAAATACCAAAAAAATCAGTTGGACTGAATGCTTCATTTATGAAATCTCACTCTTTCTTACGCAATTACCCGAAGAACACTAGTGGACTGTTTGGTTTGTACACACTGTAAAAAGAAGTGTTTCAATTATATACTGAAAATAACAGTGATTTGACAAGAACGTGATTTCCAGCTAAATCAACCTAAAACTTGGCGCTGAGTCATTTGGTAATTCATTACTGTTTTTGTAATACATTTTGGCCTATTTTTACACTGGATATTAAACGCGCGATTCAAAACATGCAACTACAGGCTTAAAACTACCCTAAGTTTGTTTACGATTCACTTATGATAATGTTCTTTGAAGTATCTATACTTGATGTTGCTATAGGTGATAGTCTCTTATCAATCAAATGTGAACTACCGAATCGGATGTTGATTGATTAACTGCCTTCCTTCTCGGATATGCTCTATTTTTAATTAACTTCACTTACTTCACTGTTCATTTCGGTTTGTCAGTTCTCTACCATGTGTTTAAGGACTCGGGACTGAATATTCAAGGGTAAGTAACAGACGAAAATCGCGCCCGTCTAACTGGATACAAACATACTGAGTTTGAACGTCTTGAGAGCTATTGTAGACTGCTCCTTTGCACAAACTGGTGCTGACGGACTTTACAGCAAGGGCTGTGGTATTCCATTCTACAGATATTATTGCAATGGTTATAAGGGCAATGAAGACGTCTTCCGAAACACAGTTGTTGCCTGCAGGGCTGCGAACAGCAGTTTGCACATTCTGTAACAGGACATGTATCTCTTCAACTGCTCCCGCCGTCGAAAAGTTCCAGCTACAGCTGCAGATACCAGACGATAAATAGAAATGAGTCCGAGCACTGTCATTGAGAAAGGCAGTTCCTTTTATTTAAGACACTGCCCTGGCTATGAGTTATTCATCTTTTGCATGAGATTTTAGCATCCCCATTACAAGGCATGCTGTTAAGCCGGTGCAATCTCTGGAGAATCACTTATTCATCTAGAGCCTGCAGCACAACATTCCACCTTACTCAGGCTTAGTTGACGTTTCAATTTCACCTTCCAACCTAGTTTCTCTTCTTACGGTTAGATTGCGTCAAATACTTTCGTTAGTATATGCATTAGGGATTTTCATGAGCTAAAAAGGCCTTCTTCACGCCTTCTTGTTTCTTCGTCTAGAAATCAGTTGCTTATAGCAGTCCATCAAATCTGTGACGTCCTGTCATGCCGTTTCAAAACTCAACCCCAGATGAACTGCTGTTAGTGCTTCTAGTCTGCAGCAGCCTTCTTCAATAACTTTCAGTGGATTCATGCTCTTTTAACTTCATGCTTTAATCACAATTTTGATTCATCGCACACTACCACGTGGTGAATTGTCATTTTTCCAGAACTTTTCACCGTTCCACCTTATCAGAAGCACTCCATACGAATTAGTTGCCATGACAAGTAATGGCACTTTTCCTTTCAGTTAACTGTTCTTCTTCCATTTTCATTGCTCTGTTGTACACCTGCTGCATCCTTCGCCTCCCACCGGAATGTCTTCGCCACCTCGCACTATCCATCCCGTGAAATAAACGTGACCTTGGTCGCATGATTTCCAGACCTCTCTTTGGTACCCTGGGAAATTTGCGAAGTCTTTTGCTCCCTCATGCGGTAGGAGTGGGAGGCTCATCTCCGTTCTCAATAACCTGACCGTTTCTCTCAGCCATTCGAGATCTAGAACATCGTCGTTACCCTTAAGAAAGACTCTGAAGCGATGGCATGCCAGCCTCAGTCGAGTTGCGCCATTGCTTGACAAAGGAATCTGACGCATGGTAGCCTTGCTTTGGGCCTCTAAAATTTGAGAGAAAAGGAAGATCTTTCTTGTCTGTTCATACACTTGACTTAGAGTTTTCAAATCAAGTTGAGGTTCCTCAAGGTACACTTTGATCTTTTCGATTGCATCTTTGGTGTCCTTCCACAGTTCTTTCAGCTCCACTTGTTGTTGTGAACTTCCTCGAAGACCAATAAGCGCCTTTTTTAGGACTTCATCTGTTCTTTGCGCTTGCTGTAGAATCAACAGGTGATTTTTTAGTGTGAATATAAAAATGGCAAAGCGCCCAAGCGCCTGTGGCCAATCGAGCCAGTTTCTTTTGTTTGAATACGACTGTACAACATGTAGAACCATTGGCGGAAACTTAAGCTTGGTTACATCATTGCGCAGGTAACGTTTTGGTAGAAGAAGACTGGTAGAAGTGGTTTCGTCGTATACGATCTCGTGTACGGTTTTCTTCACATTTTCAATGTTTTTCAGTGCCCTTTTGATGATATTTCCATAACGATAGCTGAATGTAATTGATGTAGAGCACTTTGGGCATCGCTTTAGCTGACCATTGTTACCCAGTTCTCGGAGCATCCAGCTATCCATCTCTTCAGCCTTTATGATGTGACCACAGTCGAAAAGTTGCAAACATCGTGTGGGTTCCGTTTTGTTTCCACGTCCATCCGCTAGCATTGAAGAAAGCTTCTTAGGATGGCAAATGGCACATACAGTGGGGCAATTTTCTCCACACACGCCAATACAGGGGTGGCGACAAGGCAGTTTTTTAGGACAGGGAGCATCACAGCGAGGGCGATCGCACTCCTCTCCACAGAGATTTTTGCACTGGTAGTGAGGACAATTCCAGGTGCACGGTCTTCTGCACGGTTCACACGGCTGGGCACATCGTTTTCTACATTGCCCATGAGGGCAACGTCGGTTGCATTTTCTGTCGCAGGGAGGGCAAGGCTCATAACATGTTGCTTTACATCGGTGCGAACAAACAAGCAATCGACCACATGGATGTTCGCACAATTCATGTGAACCGCTTTGTTGGCAATCATCACAAGTTCCAGAGCACTGATGACCACATGGCAAGTTTTTTTCACATGCAGCAGGACATTGTACATCTTCCACAGGGCGACTACAAGGCATTTTAATCTTATGACCACACGAGAGGGTTTTTGTCACCTCTACATCACAGGGGTATTTAGAACAATCTTCGCCGCAGACCCCTTTACAGATATGTTTGCATGAGCTCTTTTGACGGCGACAACGTTTCCGGCAGGTCGCTGTTTTGCTTTGAAAGCACTGTAGTGGTTCCTTGTGTCCGCAAGGAAATGTTTTGTCCACTCTTCGCATGCACTTCAAACGTCCGCACTTCTGGCTGCAGAGGCCCGGGCAAGGATGACCACAATCTAGCTTTTTGTTGCAGCGTACCTCGCATTCTACAGTGTTGGGATCATCGCTACAAGACATTTTGAGAGAATGCCTTCCTGCACAATTGAGTGGTTTGACGACCACTTTCTTGCATGTGAACTGACTACAATCCTCGGAGCATTTACCAGGGCATTTATGCCCGCAAGGCAATTTTCGCTTGCACCCATTTGGACAAATCATCTGGGACACATCATCAGAGCAACGACAACTGATTTCATGGGAGCCACATGCCAAGAGCTTCTGGACTTTGACGGCACATTTGAATCTAGCGCAGTCGTCGCCACATTTTTTAGGGCAAAGATGTTCACATGGTAGACGTCGTTCGCAGGGCGCATCACAAAACACTTCACCTGGATTGTCTGAACACAATATCTTCCTTTCGTGCCCACAAGCTAATATTGTCGTCACCTTTGTATCACAGATTTCACCTTTTTCTCCGTGTCTCGCTTTAGAGCATGTTATGAGCTTCTTATGTCCACAGGAAAGGGTGATTTCAACCTCCTCTTCACAAACGTGCTCCATGGGGTTGTCTGAACACAACATCTCCCTTTCGTGCCCACAATGTAATCTTCTCATCACCTTTGTGTCACAGATTGCACCTTCACCTGGATTGTCTGAACACAACATCTTCCTTTCGTGCCCACAAGGTAATCTTTTCGTCACCTTTGTGACACAGATTTCACCATGTTGCCTATCTCTCGCTTTAGAGCATGTTATGAGCTTCTTGTGTCCACAGGAAAGGGTGATTTCAGCCTCCTCTTCACACACGTATTCCATTGGATTTTTGTAGCATGGAATAGTTATCTCGTGGTCACACGGTAGTCTTCTTTTCACCTTAACCTTGCAAAAAACATTTTGTAAGTCTGCCGACATAGAAGAGCAAATGAGAGACGTCATATGGCCACACGACAGTTGGACATCGACTTTCTTCTTGCACTTGCATTCTTTTGGATTTTTGTGACAGGGAAGAGTGAGTTTGTGCTTGCAAGGCAGTTCTTTCTCAACTTTCGCGTTGCATAATATTTTTTGTAAGTTCGCTTTTGCAACATGGCAGGCCGAGAGCGTCTTGTGTCCACACGATAGACAGACCTCTGTTATTGCTTCACATTTGTATTTTTCGGGATCCTTATGACAGGGTATAGTCGCCTCGTGACCACATGGTAACGTTGTTTTCACGAGCTCTTTGCAAGCTCGAGCCTCACATTTCTTACTGCAAATGTTTTGACAATGATGTCCGCAGATCCTGACTCTTTCACATGGCTTTTTACACTTCATTGAAGATGGATCGGTGTGACAAGGCATCTCAATGCTGTGTCCACATGCGGGAATTGTCATGTTAACCACTTCCGTGCAATCATTACAGGACGCACCAAAGTGGCACCGTCGCTGACAGGCATGACCTCGCTCACACCTCTTTTGACACACTTCTTCACATCGAACCTCGTGGCAAACACGACCACACACAGATGAGCACCTATGTCCGCAATCCAGCTGTCGTTGACATGGAGCGTAACAAAAAGCCTTTTTGGGGTCAAGGTGGCAAGGGACACTCTGCTGATGGCCGCATGGAAGAAATTTGAAGACAACACTTTCACATTTTTGCACTGCACAGTCTTCGTGACACATTCCGGGGCACTCATGTCCACAGTCCAGTGCTCGCGTGCATCTTTCGGCGCACTGTGGTGGCCTGTCTTTCTCTGGACATAAAAGGTGTTTTCGATGACCGCACGGAAGTTCAACTTCAACTTTTGTGTTGCATTCACAGCGTTGTTTACATGTTCTGGAGCACGGATGGCCACACTCGAGAACTTTGATGCACTTGCTGTTACACCGTTTGTAAAGCACAGGATCTTTGAAACATGGCAAACTTTTCTCATGTCCACACGGGAGAGTTTTCTTACAGTCAACTTTACATTGTTGTGTACATAACTTCCCGCATGCTTCCTGACAGTTGTGTCCACATGTGAGCATTTTTTCGCATTTTACTGGACAAGAGAATTTTTCTGGGTCAATACTGCATGGAACTGGCTGTTCGTGGCCGCACTGTGGGACCGTCTTCAACACAGGTTGACGGCACGGAGGACAGCTTCTTGGATAATGACACCTATTCTGGCATTGGTGGTCATTTTGGCTGCATTTCATGAAGCAAAATTTAGAACACTGGCCCTTTTCGTGAAAGTGGTCTGAGGCATGGCATGGCGTTTCACACGCATGCCCACAAACAAGACGTTCTCCACAGGGCATCTTACATCCTCCAAATTTGATATCAAACTCACGCGACGTTCTCACACTGGTGACTTTGTTGTGTCTCTTGCAAACCAGATCTAAAGTCTCTCCAATGGCTTTCTTTGTTTCTAAATCGTCACATATTTCCTGCCACAGCTTGCACTTGCTTTTCAGTTGCTTGAAGTTTCCAATGCAGTAAAATCCTTGGCGAGCTCGGGACAATGCAACACAGATTCTGTTTGACTCGTTTAAGAAACCAATTCGCTGGTCTGAGTTGCTTCTGACCAACGACAGAAGAATGATGTCGTTTTCTTCACCTTGAAAGTTATCCACTGCACAAACCCTGACACCCTCAAATGCTTTTCTTGGCATCTTCTCTTGAAGAAGTAATAGCTGACCGATGTACATTGTTAGAACTGTAATCTGGCTCCCGCTATATCCTTGAAGTAAAAGATAATTGCAAAGGGCTACTAAGAAGTCGGCTTCGTGAGGGTTAGAGTAACTTTGTAGACCGTCTACGTGGGCCTCGACCTCACAATGATCAATAAAGAACAGATTGTGAGTTAGGCCAGATATGTCTTTGAATTCGCACACCGTTTCGTGGTCAACAATTTCGTGATCGTAGATTCGTTTAGTCAGTGACGCAATTTCTGGCCGCATTCGATGCTGTATGGACAAGCGTTTGCAATCCATACTGTTCATTACCATTCTCTCGAACAGCGAAATCGACAGGTTGTATTTTAAGGCTAACTCATACACTGTTGCTTTTGGACGGAGTTGCTTGTGGTCTCCGATTAGAATGGTATGCTTTGTATCTTGTGCAAGAGAAGTGATGATGTGAGCTTCCATAACCTCAGCTGCTTCTTCGATTACAACAACTCTGGGGGCTACTCTCTGAAGCATTGAGTGGTATCGCGCTGCACCACTGGTCGTCATGCCAACAACAGTTGCGCGACGTATAACCTCTTCTTCTTCTTCAAATCTGACTGCCTCTTGTTCTTGACAAAGTTGGTCATACTCCTGTTCACCTCTTTGAATCTCTGC